CGTTTATGTAATCAGTAAATGAGAGGCAGGCTTTCTAGGGAAGGGAGCTATTTTTGTAGGAATGAGGTGATTATAGTCTTCGTTTTCAGTTTTTAATGAGCTGTAATATATTTGGGAGCAGTAGTACAGGAACCTTTTATTTGACATAGACTTATGCAATAGTAGTTCTTACCGCCAAGTGTGAAGTAGCTAGATTTAGAAAAAAATCTCATGTATTAAGAGACTGTGAGGAAGAAAAATGGGTAAAAGAGTGGTACTAAATACTGAAAGGAGAGAAGTCCGGTTAGATCTATTATATACGACCTTCTCCTGTCCCTGCCATAATTTGTTGAGGCTTTTGTCGTGTGTTCCAGCCAGGGAAAAGCAGTTGAGTCCTTCTGTGTCCCAAGGTGTATTTGCCCAGGTGAGCACTGTTTGTGTAGTAGAATAGCCTTTGTAGAACCTAGTGAGCCCAACCTCTTGCTATCACACTCATAGCAATATTTATTTATTCCAGAATTAGCATTTGGAGTGAAGCTTCAAGAAAGCTTCTGCTGTTTTGAAAGAAGAAGGTAGAAATGGTTGTAAAATGTACAAATGCGGCTGTGTTGCAACTCTGAAGAAGCATGGATGAGGGATAAGAGTTTGCAATGTGAACTACAGAACCTCTTCTGAAAAGGGGACAGGAAGTAAGTTTGGGCTATTTTTTAAGAGAAGGCTATTTTTTAGCTATTATTATTTGGCTATTTTTTGAGAGGATGACTTTGCCATCGGCCGACTTGGCTCTGCAGATTTCTGGGAGCCAGCAAGTCCTGCAGAACCGGATTATTTGGGATTCACTTTTTCGGTTGAAGATGTTTCATTCGAGTCAGAATGAGGGACATCTCGCCCTTTCCCCTCCAGAGTGCTTAGTGCAGCTCAGAAGACACAAGTGTTCTTGGTTTTAATCCGCTTCAGAGGCCAATAAGACACCAGGTCATTTCCCTGAAATCCACAATTATTTCTGGAGGTGTCCTCTGTTCCACATCCACATATTGATATATTTTCATGGGATAAGAAATATAATAAAGAAAGCCTGAATAATTCCAGATAAAAACAACCTTGATCTCAGTGAAGTCCTAAGCATGAGGGCAGCTGCTATTTCCCACTTATCCGAGAAGCATCTTGACTTCTTTTTGCCACTTTGGTGTGTTAGAGCAAATAACCGAGCTGCTGCTGTTAGCCAAGACCTGTTTCCCCAAAGTGCTTTTTTCTGCTTTTTTTTGTGATTATTTTTAATCTGTGTTCTCCAAGCTGCATTATCATATGTAAATTCTGCCTGCATTTTTTAAATAACTTTATTTGTAGCTGTCAGAGATGTCTTATTCATAAGTTGTAGCGATCCCTAAGAGCTATAGCTGCAAACATTTTTAAAAAAGTCTTTATAAGACTACGAGAGGGAGATTGCTTGGTTCATCCCTCTTGGTTTTGTTTCAGAAGATTAATAATAAAGATGATGAATGAGCTGTTAAGTCAGTGGAGCCAAAGCAGTGCATGTTCCTTTGCATAACCATAGGGTGGTGGAAATTTTAGGGACACTTTTATGTGTTGGTGCTGCTGTGCTTCGCTGCCTTAAACTTCGCTTGTATGAATCCATCAATTGGTGAACATAGCTTAAGAGCTGGGCGTATTTAAATAGCTACACAGGTTGGTTTTACATTAGAAGTGTGGATTACTTAAACTAGAGCTTAGTACAGCTCTACCTACGTTAAATTTTGCTGTTGAATTAAATAGAGATTGGGAGAGACAAAATCCTTCTTGTGATATTTCTTGCCCCGTACCCCACATGGACAAATGGGTGTTGGCACCTGGTGAGGAGCCCTGAGGTGGAGCTTTGCTCTCCTCTCTTTGCCTCTTTATGGATGTGCTCGCAACCAGTAATTAAATCTGGTGAAATGAGATTCCCCGAGCTGCAAGCCGGTAATTGCGAGAGAGCTGGGAGTGCAGTAATTGATTCTGACACTTAGCAGCTCCGCAGCACGGATCGTTCGCTCGTGGTCTGGAAAGCTTTGGACTTCGTTTTGTTTCGCTTCAGACGCGTTTCCGTCTTCGAGGAGCTCAGCTGGGAAGCCCTGAGCAAGGCGTCGTGATCCTGCCCGTGTCCATGTGGGTTAGCTTCAAATTGGTGGGTGTTTGGGCTGAAAAGGGTCTAGTGGTTGACCAAGTGTGTTTGCAAAGGGCATCCTCATTTGCTTTTTGCAGCTGCTGCTGTTTAATTCTGTCCATACTTTCCTCGTCTTTCCTTCTCCTGTGCGTTATGTGCATATGCCAAGTGTCCAGCTTGTATTTGTAAATGAGTCCACTGCATTAAATATAATTAACCAAAAGAATTTACAATCAGTTAATTAGATATTTTTAATGGGGGGAAAATAGCTTTTCCCTTTGAACACCCTGTTTTCCCCCAGACCTTGATACAGATGTCAGAGAGAAGCGGTGCCATTGCATATCAAAGCATAAAGCCATTTGTATTCCCTTTTCCACATCTTGTTTTCTTTTCTCCTGGGAGTAGCTGGTATTAGATGAGCAGAAAGTGTCTTGTGCTGAGGAGGTAGCTCTGCTGAGATTAATATTTTGATTGTTTTGCACCAATAGTGGCACAAAAATAGCTTACAAATAAAAAAAAAAATGCATGATTCCGTCCGAGTTCACGAATGCAGTTTAGACCTGTGAAGAGTGTGATGCCTGATCAGCTACAGAATCAGCATAAGGTATCAGTGATGAAACTGTTAAGGAAACACTTGACTGGAGTAGGTGATCGTTCCTTACCAAGCCAACCCGCTCAGGAGTGGAGTGATCCTTACTGAGAAGCTGAAGCCCAAACGTCCTTGCGGATGCAAAGAACTAGTTTATGTAGATGGGAGCTGGCAATACGTGAATGATCATTATCCTGTGTCAAGTCTCATTTTAAAGACCATAACTATGCCTTTTTAGAAGAAAAACAAACTCCGTCACGAGTCTGGAGAGAATCATTAATCATGTATTTTTATCACCTCAAAAGACCGCTGGAAGATGAGCTCTAATATTTCAAATGCGACAAGCAATCTATACCCATGAATCACAATTTGAGTTCCATTACGGCTCAGCTGATATATACCACTGTGTGCTGTATGGATTTTACTCTAACAATATTAAATAAAACCCCAAAGCTTTTTGTCATGAATGCCTAACCTTTTACAAGAGTTTGTAGAGCTGCAGGCCAAAAAAAAAAAAAAAAAAAAAAAAAACCACACAGAAAAAACCCTTACAGCTTTAGTAAGATAATGCTGCTGGTTTTTCGCCTCTCAGGGTTAGTCTCTGTAAAGAAGGGTGCATCTATTAGCACTATCTTAATATTGCAAAGATAATAGAAAATGTAAAATACTGTGTGGGAAAGGTATAGAGAAAGACTGAGAAAAGGCAGTGAATGAGCAAAGCTTGGAGGGGGAGATGTTTAGTTCCTTCTGATTTCATTGGTAGGGCCAGGCTTTTCCTTCCTGGACTCCAGGACTTCTGCTGCAGCCCAGTGTCAGTGGCTCTCAACTCTTATTTAAGCCAGCTCACCACTTTGAGTCCGTAGTGTCCCTTTGAGAAATGAAGCTATAGAGGTATTTCCCTATATGAATTATAAGAGTGAATTTCCATTTTATCCTTGAGGCTTTTCCTATTTTATATTATAGGACTGCAGGCTTTGCTAGCAGTGGATAAAAATTCAAGTGCCTTCACCTGGGAGACTTTTAATCCTCCTGCTCCCTTTTGGGAGAAGAAAGGGGAGAATTGGTGTCTGGTGAATTCAGTGCTGGAGCCTGAGATAGAGGGCAACATGTCAGGTTAATTTTGAGGTGACTTGGTTGCCAGTTTGTCATTCTTCCTTTCTTTTCAGGCTTCTTTCTGCTCCCTTTTATGCCAGAAAATTATTAGCTATGCAAGAATGAAACCCCTTAAAGCTATGCACCGAAAGCCTATTAAAAAGAGGCTGTGAGCAGAACAGTGTGAATACATGTCAACACCTGAGTGTTTCCCAAGTGGCTCTGGCACTCAGTGGTGTGATAACAAGACGTGGGAGGATTTTTCTTGGCTTTTATCTCTCTTATATTGATGCTTCTGACTTTTTAAAATGCATTTCATCAAGTGGCACTGCCACAGAAACAAGGGGAGAGGGGGAAGGTGCTGGTTCAAGGCGTTTGTGGCGATATTTTAAGTCTTCTGCCTCCAGGCCATTGTTTCTCATTCAGCCCGAGTTTAGTGGCTGGCAAAAATCACTGCCAGGTGTTTGGCCAACGCGGACTGATTTTTGGCTAGTTGCTTCCACTGGACAGATGTCCACAGCATAGGAAGAGTGAGCGGAGCTGGCAGAGGTTTCATTTTTGGAGCCTGGAAAAGGTGACTGTATCTTAACGGCTGTTACTCCTCTTGAGAGCACCACTGATGGCCCTGGGCTAAGGCCGCGCAGAGCTTGGTACTCACACAGTTAGGTGAAAATGTCCTTGGGCAAAAATCAGGGCTTGCCAGGAACTGTCCTGGTTCCGGCACTCGTGTGTCCTGGTACCTCAGCTGCGGCTCAATTGCATTGAGCAATGGATAACAAGGAGAATGTAGCAGGAAGCCCCCCCTCACCCCCCCAAGGACATTATTTTTCTATTTTGCTTGCCTATAAGTAATACTAGCAAAAAAAAAAATTGAAACTCGTCAATTACTCTGTGTAAAATCAATGCCACTGAGTGGAACATCTATCCTAATCAGAATAAAATAAAATTAAAGCTTCAGTTTAAATTCTGCTTTTGTGAGGAGGGAAGCGGGAGGTGTTTTGCGGTTTACAGTGTCGTGGAGCTTTGTGATATTTAAACAAATAGGTAAATGATGGTTTTGATTCTGTCCTTTGGGAAAACTATCACATTGGACTTTCGGTTTGCAGCAAGAACAGAGATGGCTCCACAAGCAGATATAGGACCAAGCTGTAAATTCTGAGTCTGACGGGGGCTTTTCCTGCTTCTCCTTCCCCGTAGATATTGATGAGTGTGCTGCTAAGATGCATTACTGCCACGCCAACACCGTGTGTGTCAACCTGCCCGGATCCTACCGGTGCGACTGCGTCGTGGGATACGTCCGCGTGGATGACTTCTCCTGCACAGGTGAGCTCCTAAGTGCGTAGCACTGGTGTTGCTGTACTCTGTGTTTGTTATTTACCTTTTAACTAAGCCTGGAGACAAAGCAAGAGCTGCATTCGGGGTGTCCCTGCGCTGGCGTGACGTTTGGACACAAGGCGCTGCATTCGGGTTAGCTCAAGGGTGGTGCAGGAGGCTTGGTAGATGCGTGTGCCCAAGGACACTGTCCCCTGTGGTCCCACAGTGGCCTCGTATGGGGAGTCCCAATAAGATCTGTCTGGTGTCTAGGCCTGCTGTGCCCGTTATCTCACTTCGCATCTTGGTTAATGCCTCCATATGAGACTAGGGCTTCTCCAGACCTTTGCATCTGCGTGATTTTTAGCAGGGGTAGTAAGAGGGGTTCCCACATTTGGTGAGAAGAAATAATATTTTAATACCTATCGTTTGAAGAAGTAGTTTGAAATATCAAAAATGATCTATGAGGAAAAGCTTTGTGGACAGGACCAAGAGAAAAAGAAAATGTGAGAGTTACTCAAAACGTTTTGTTGCCTGATAAATTGGAAATTGCTGTATTTAATGTTGAGAATTAGTGCTTCCAGGACTATGGTATGCCTTATTTATGAGATAAATCCAGACAATAAATCCAGCATTTTTTTTAAGTATCAATAAAATGAGCTCTAAAAAATATTATGGGAAAGTAGATGTCTCATTTCCATGCACAAATTCGCAGAATCTTTCCAGGAGGTTTCTGGAAGAAACACGAGAAGCTTCTGACATGCTCTGCCCAGCGATACCTAAGGTGATAACATCTTTCAATCACATGGCTCCAGAAATACTGATCTCGGGGTTATTTCGATGGCAGACCTGTCTGGCAAAGGAGGGACGTATCAGTTGGATTTACTGAAACAGAAATAAGGAAGATGTGCACAAAATCAGGTTTAGAGTTGTGCTGGGCAAGCTGTTCTGCTAAGTGAAAGGATGACCAAGGAGTATTTAATGTGAGAATGATTTCTAGCCTGGAACAATTACTCTGTAATACATGATATCCTTAGGAAATATCTCTTTTCATGAAGAAATATGTCTTTCAATTCAGATCAGGTAGTTTATAAAAGCTTTAGGAAAGTCCTACTTGTCTCCTGAGACAAACTTGTGCTAAGTAGCTGTCAAACAACAGGTTTGTGTTTTGTGTAGGTGTTCTTTATTTCCAAATTATTTGTTGTGTCTTCAGAGTAAATTTCACAGTTTTCCTTGGTCTTTTCATAACCTGCTGTGTGAAAAGTTTCAGACCTTAAATTTTGTTCTCAATGCGTGAGCTGTGTGTGCTGGCTGCTTTCACAGTGATGGGAAAAACATTTCTGATAACTTTACACTTGCTTTCCATATGTATGCTACTAATTCCCTAATGCTCCTTTTCTTCCAGCAAGACAGTATCATTAGGCATGCAAATGGTTTAGAAAGCAAGGTATTTGTGATTTACCGTAGAAGTGTGAAGTAATAAGACAGGTGCTTGACAGTAATGGGTGAACGTTCATTTAATGTGCATGCACAGAAAACAACAACAACAAAAACCATCTAAGAAAAATAACGGAATAAGTGGGATAAATATTTCTTGTCGTTTTCATTGTCTTATTAAAACGACTTTTTCAGCATTGCAGTTAAAAGGTACAGCAAGTGCTTAACGCACTTGGAGAAACTTGGTTCATTGCCCGTTTTACTAGAAATAATAGTGTGTTAAATACATATACTCAAGTACTTGCACAATGGAAGACCTCATTTTGCTTGGGTATTTTGCGTTATATTTGCAGAAAATGATTGAAAAGACCCAAAAAAAAAAAAAAAAAAAAAAGGTAGGTAGGAAATACTTAGCTGATTTTAGCTAATTCCCCTCTATGCTGTTTTGCATGTAGGGCAGACACAAGTCAAGTAGATTAGAGCTGTTACCAAGGTTTTTAATTTGTTGCCGTTTATCCAGACGAAACGGGGGGACTCTGTTGCCAGACCATGTATCTGAGGACAAACCTGGAAGCCCAGGAGGTGTTGGCCTTCAGGGGACATCCGAGTCCTGTGCACAGTGGCTCAGGGCTTTTCAGCCAGCGCAGGTGGATGGGTTCATGTTAAATGTTAACCAGCTTCAAATGCAAGAGCTTAAGGCCTGTGCACAGCCCAGCATGTGCTCTATATAATACTGACCTAAAGGCAGAATTAAATGCAGAGAGGAGGAGGAGGCATTATTGCAACCTTGGGGGCCTCCTCCGCCTGGTCCTGGCTGCCCTCAACTCCCCGGGAGCTGCGGAGCGGAGCCGGTGTCACTGGGCAGGCAGCGATTTCTGTATTTTTTGGAATTGCATCAAGTCGTCATCATTTCAAAAAAGAAACTGCATCAAATATTGAAATGCCAGGTCAGTCAGAACTGAGCAAACGGAAGCATATAATCTGGATGTTGCTGGATATGATGCAATTTGTGGTGTTTTCCCTCTCCCTGTGTCTTGATCTAAACTGATTTGTGCAGTTTTGCTGTTGCAAAAGCACTTTTTTATAGTGTTCCCCAGTTCTGCCTGTGAGGACTGTGGAGCAGGAGTTCTGCACAGGCATAAGAACCTAGGATATGGGAAGCTTTGAGTGCACAGAAATTGTCATGAAAATAGAAGATAAGTAACTGGACTAATGTTTTGCCTGAAGTCTGTCATCTTAAATTCTGAAATATGACTTAAGATGGGATAGTGGATATTTTCATAAATCAGTGTTCAGTCTTGTATGAGCAAAAGACCGAGTGCGTTGCGTGTCATTTTGTGATCAGGTTAGTCAGTCTGGCAATAACTTTGACCTGGAGCCACCAATGAAGATACATTAATGTTTTTGTACTCTCCTATGGCTGGAACTGTCAGCTCTGAATGTTAATTAAGATCTTCAGGGCAAGAGCTGATTGAGAAGTTATCCTTGAAAAGGGAGTTTCTTTTAATCTCTTCCCATGACAGTTACGGGTTTTTTATCTGTTCTCAGGGAAATCGCATCGTTTCCCTTCTGGTAATGGCAGGGAATTTGCTCCTCCAGATGCTCTCATTTACTGGAATCTACTGGTATAAAGCATCTTAGTCACTTCCACGGGTTTTTTTACCTCATTTTGCTTGTTAAAAAATAAGTCTTCTTGGATTGCTTTCCTCTAGTATACTAGTCTGGATGTGGGAGTTTGCATCACATTTGCACTATATTTTCTTCTAAAATTTTTTGAAGGCATTATAAATTGTTGTGGATCTGGTATTTTTGTCTGTTGGACTGCATCTTCTAGTATTATTATAGAAATATTTATATGTAGGTGTATATATTTTTGCATAGTTTGAAGCTACAATATCTCTATCCCCACCTTCCACCTGTTTGAAGCTATGAAGTCTAATCTATCTCCACCCTTCCCTACTACTACGGAATCACAGTTTATTAAGATAAAACGGTACTTTAAATTATCTGTAATAACTAGGTTGACTATGCTGATAGAGCAAACAAGGTAGATTGGTCTCATATTTTTGTATGTAGCCAGTCAAGATAATGACCCTTGGTCTATAAAAATCTATGATTACTATTTTGAAAAAAAAAAGACCTCATTCTGCAGCGCTTTCTGTAGGTCTGCTCGGGCCCTAAAATCTCTTTAAAGTCCTGCAGTCAATTCAGGAGGAAGGTGTTGGGTTTTCGTAGTTCCTTTTTTGTTACTGTGATTAGGATGCTTTCATTTGGGGTTGTATTTTTTTTAATTTCCTACAAATATTTGCTAATTATGCATTAAAGCTTAGAACAACCTTAACAAATGAGTATTCTAAAGGATTTCTATTCCCCTGCATATGTGCATTACTCATGGTAATACTGCAAAATAATGAAACTCATTCTGTGTGATCATGCTCGTGGAACTTCTTACCTTTAGCTTTTCAGAGCAAGGAGTCACTAATTGTATGTGGCAAAAATCAAACCCTGATCTGTCACAGTAAGTGTTTTCAGAATACATTAATAGCTAGTTTCATACCAAGGACAAATTAACACTACATAGAAAGGTGATGCTTAGGAGAAGTGTTAGAATTTCGCTGTTTCTTAAGATGCAGTTCTTACCATAACTGGATTTACTGGATGGGTGGACTAGAGAAAGTAGTAGAACCTCAGGATTTTGAAGGGTTACAATAAAAGCTCCTTGGCTTCTGTGTGGTTTGGTTTCTGGTGTAGCATTCAGTTTTGAATCTCCTGCACCTTTCAGAACGAGCCTTTCTGCAATACAGCACTGGCAAGACTGGGCTTAAAACATGGAAAAAGCAGAGCTTTATGAAAGCTAAAAATCCAGGAAAAACTCACCTACCCTCTCCTGTTCTTTCCCCTTGTCCATGGAAGTTAATTCACTTTCAGCGATTCCACTCCGTGATTTGAGCTGAAGCTGTTCAAATTGTTTGCTGTCACTAAAATGGATGTCTTTTAGACTGCCGCAGCTGTGGTTTGTCACACGTTCAGGGTAGTGCATTTTATCCAGTCGTGTTGTTAATAGCAGAGGTGAAGTGGCACTCGTTACTGTCAGGTTCCTGGCTTGCCCACCCAAACCACTGTATGTGCTTGGAAAGGAATAAGGACTTTTAGGCAGCCAACTGATAATACAAGGAAAGGGCCCTTCCAAGGAAAGGGCTCATGGTGCAGTCTGTTCTACTGAATATCTTTCCCATCTCTTCCTTGAGCTAAATTAGCATATAAGGAGAAAACATGAACACTTTTGGTGTGGCCCTTGGACCGAGGTCAGTAAGCAAATCTTCATGTGATGGCCTAGAGTTAATGACTTGATAGCTAACTGCAAGGCCAAAGTGTGAGCTAGTAGGCGATGAACATGGTCTGTGGCTGATGGATCATCTGCAGATCTCCCTGTTGTCCTGAAAGACACCTTTAGTGAGCATCTTGCTTAGCACTTCATAGTTTTTAAGGAAATTTTGTGGAAGTGTTAATTGAGACGGCACTATGGTATTACTAGAGACCTTTAGTGAGCATCTTGCTTAGCACTTTTGTGGAAT